ACACATACATAGGTACATACATTACATACATAGGTACATAATATATATATAATATAATAAATATACTATATAATATATATATATATAATATATATAATATATATAATATATATAATATATATAATATATATAATATATATAATATATATAATATATATAATATATATAATATATATGCACCAGGCCCTGCCACCCCCCCCCTCCCCCCCCCATATGGGATGGGTCCCATATACTGGTCCCATATGAGATCTTCCCCCTCCCCCCCTGTGGTGTGGTGGGGGTGTGGCACTGTCCCCTCCCCCCCCTGTGGTGTGGTGGATGGGTCCCATATACTGGTCCCATATGAGATCTTCCCCCTCCCCCCCCTGTGTGTGTGGTGGGGGTGTGGCACTGTCCCCCTCCCCCCCCTGTGGTGTGGTGGATGGGTCCCATATACTGGTCCCATATGAGATCTTCCCCCTCCCCCCCCTGTGGTGTGGTGGGGGTGTGGCACTGTCCCCCTCCCCCCCCTGTGGTGTGGTGGGGGTGTGGTATGGTATGGTGGGTATGTATGGTGTGTATGGTCGGTCTGGTATGGCATGTTTGGAAAGTATGGTATGTTTGGTATGTATGGTAGGTATGGTATGTATGGCATGAGTGGTTGGTATTGTATGGATGGTAGGTATGGTATGTAAGTCTGTTGGATATGGTATGTTTGATATGACAGTATGTATGGTCTGTATGGTATGTATGGTTACTATGATGGGTATGGAATATGTCCTATCTAAGGTAGGTATGGTATGTATGGCATGTATGCTTGCTATTGTATGTATGCTATTGTATGTATGGTAGGTGTGGTAATTACATTTCATATGTATGGTATGTATGGTATGTATGATAGATATGATAGGTATGGTATGCATGGCATCATTGACATGTATGGTAGGTACGGTATATGTTCAACAGAGGTAGTGTTGTCAGAGTACACAGGTAGTAAACAGGAAGTAGATACAGTAGATACATAGCACATGTATGTATGACTATAGGTAGCACGTAGGTACTTTGAAGGAGTATGTGTGCTACGTAGGCCGCCTAAAAGGTAGCATGTACCTAGTAAATGCGAGGCTGGTAGTCAGAAATGCTGCAAAGACCTAGCAAATACGACGCTGGACCTCAGAAATGCTGCCAATAGCTTGCAAATAGAAGGGAATTGGGGCTACTACCTGGGGACCCAACCCATGGGGGGGGGGGGGTGGAGAGACGGAGGACGGGACCATATATAATATATATAATATATATGATATAATATATATAATATAATATAATATAATATAATATAATATAATATAATATATATATTATATTTATTTTACATAATATATTTAATATATCCTATATATTGAACATATATTATATAATATATGTAGTAAATATAATATGTATATAATATATATATACAATATATATAATATATAGAATATATACAATATATATATAATATATTGTATATATAATATATATTGTATATATAACATATATAATCTGCATAATATAGATTTATTTCACATAATCTATTTAAGTTATATATAGAATATATATAATATATAGAATATAATATATATAATATATTTATATTATATGTATATATTATTACCTATATATATGCACGTTTCAATGCACATATAAACCCATAGACAAATAGGTAAGTAGATAGATATAGATATAAACGTACATCTACCATGTGAGGGGAGGGGGTTGCCTCCATCTCTTCCAGCGCCAGGGCCCAGGTCGGCTGGTTGGTCTCAAGCTGCCCTGGCTGAATTTGATGTTGGGAAGAGAAGGTTTCCACGTTTTTTCTCCCCAAAAAGTGGACATTGTTTAAATTTTAAATTCAATTATTGGTTCTTAATTTGTTTCTTTTAATGTTAAGTGTTGATTGCCCGATTGCCGGCCACTTGTCGTAGATTATAGCTTGAATCGTCACAGCTGCCCGGTTGGACAGCACGGTGCCAGGTATGACCCCCCCATGAACAACTACGAAACCGGCCTTTTGATCAAGGAAATCGTGAGAGAACTCAGAGCAGGGTGGCAAAGCTGGCAACAGATACCCCCCAAGGCTTAACTTTGGCACTTTAGTATAGTTAATTCTTGTTACAGTAATTATATATCTATAGTTGCGAGTTTTTTGTGTTGTTACGACTTTTGCACTATAGTTATATATCCATAGGTGGGGCAGCAATTTTGCCATAAATTGGCAGGAGGAATCCGTAGGGTGTGATTTGCAACTTGAGACTGGGGGCCTTCAAAGAGCAGCGGGCGGAAGTTGGAGTTTCTGGCTGGTCACTGCAGAGATCCCTATATCGAAGACCGGGGTGGCCCTGGTTTAGCACAAGGTCTGTTGGATTCGGGACCCGTGCGGAATTTCAATGTTACCCTGGGGGGCCATTGGGGGATAATGATTCTGTCCAAAAAAGTATGGCACTGTCTTCCACAGGTTCCCGTTTGGCAAACAGCCAGGTTCCTGAAAGTCGAGCAGACGAACATAACAAGCTGAGTGTGAGGCAATACTGCAGATGTAGTCGGTGGGATTCCCTGGGTGTTCGAGGGACATTTCGTACATAAAAAGGAAGTTCAAATAATATAAAAGGAATTGGGCCCTTATGAAGCAGACGACTCGATCGAAGTCTATCATTCTGAGCTGTGTTCAGGCCACTTCCTGTACCATACAGCTTCGAGTGAACCACAGTGACACTGTGAAATATAAAAGGGGGCTCTTAAGCCGCAACTTGGTCACCAAATGGATCCAAATTCTTCATGGCTGTCACCGGCTGTCACCACTGTGCAGGCGAGGAAGCTTTCATTTGGTGATCTTGACTGGAATGACCATTGAAGGCTGCCGTCATTCCGCCGGTTCTGCGGAAGCCTACTGGAATGGATCTCTGGGTTTAAAAAAAGGAGTTACATGCTATAGCCGCCCAATACATACGGGAACCCCTGCAAACCAACCATACTATTAGTATTGGTATTCAATCGATTCAATATGATTCAATCCCTGTCAGGCAGGGCTTTGACTTTATATTTTCCAGGTCGCACAATGACGCAATATCAGCTGGTTTAGCAAAAATGCTTTATTAACACTAGCGATTCTTTAGTCTCAAAAGTTCGTAAACTACCATCAATAGACTGATTTGAGGGAACATTGAGAACTTCTGCTAGTGAGCAGTGTTCAAAATCCCTGTTGTCTGATGGTTATAGGGGTATGCATTACCCAACATATGGGGGGATTATATACAACAATCAACTATGGGAATCTTATTAACCAGCTGGGTGTTCACTCAACTTGATCTCTCCGAGCTTTTTCCGCGGCAAACCATGGCCTCTGCGGGAGATGCTTCCAGTGCCATTGGAAGTCAGCATGACTTGATGGATTTGCAGGTGCTGCACATGAATGGTGAAGCATTGCTGCTCAGGGTTTGTGTCCCAGCAGCACTCTGGGCCGGGAAGGGCGAAGGATGTTGTCTGAGAAACGTCCATCGACGAAGATGTCATGTCAATGTTTGAACCACCCATTGCCTCCAAAGATTTGAAAACCCAGACCGATTGAGCTTGATAAGCCAGAAAACGGACCGCGCGAGCCTGCCAAGCAGTCTTTGCAACTTGACGTTCGGGTGTATGTTCAACCAGACCTTGGACGGTTGACTTTTGGTTTCTATTTTAATCAGAGCCTGGAGCGGGTGAGCTTGCCAAGTGGTCTTCGAAGCTTGACTTTCGGCTAACAGTTCAACCAGAGCTTGGACCGCGTGAGCTTGCCAAATGGGCTGCAAAGCTTGACAGTCGGAGATTCGTCTCAGGAGAGCGTGGCTTTGGGTGTTGGCATGGGTTTTGATATCGTGGCTTGCAATCGGAATGTCAAACAGAGCCTGGATCGAGTGACCTTGCCAAGCAGTCTTCAGAGATTAGTTCTGGAAGGGGGTCTTGCTGAGCTCCCAGTGACGAGCATGTCTGTACTGTACAGTCTGTCAAAAGTGCCCTTGCACTACCTCTTGCAGGAAGCTGGGGTGAAGTTGAGGCTTTTTTCGAGTGGTCGCTTCCAAGCAAGGTTTGATGATGACAATCTATATATATATATATATTTATGAACATGTAACATATCATATAAATTAACCTGTTTGGTTCCATGGCTGAACGCGCCTTCCGCACCTTCCAAGAATCCAAATGCTAGAAGGCGATGGACCGTTCATCACATGTCACATGCCATGTATGAACTTGGCGTGGGGCGTTTGATTTTCCCGGGCAATTAACATGGGAATCACTTCCAACATACTTCCAACACTCATCAGTGCTATTTTTATCAATTTTCTAGGCCACTTCAGGGACTCCTTAGGATTTCGACCTCCAAAAATCTCCCAACATCACGACACCCCGAAAGACCCCGAAAGGCCGGACATGGCGCAACCGCATCAAGCGCGCCAGGCGTCAACGACGCGCAAAACGTCTCTGGTCAGAAGTTGCAGAGGGCCCTCCTGGAGGCGACGAAGGGCCCGGAGGGCCCGGAGGGCCCGGAGGGCCCCATTTCTTCGTGGATTTTCCATGGGGATTTGACCAGGAATTTGACCAGGCATTTGGTGGGAATATCATGGGATGTATATGGATATTGAATGATGGATATTGATATTGATATAACATGATATAACCAACATAACCAACTCAAGACAATTTGGGTTTGCCCGGAGTATTTACACCAAGTGATGGTCATTTTCATGGGAAAATGGAGAAACCATTGGACTCCGGGTGCATCCAAGGCCGTCGTGGCCCGAGCCATGAACAGATGCGTCAGTTCAAATGGTGGTTCTCAGTTCTCTCCCTTCAAGGAATCATCACGCATCACCACGTTGCAGCTGCAAAAAGCATTGCAACATTCACGGCAGAAGAGTGATCCAAGTTGCCAGACACATCCTGAAGACAGTCAAAGAAACCACGTGGGAAACTCAGCATTCGTCCCATTCTTTTGTCGTTTTTGTGGAACCGCCATGGGAAACTGGCAGCGGCGCCGTGAATAGCTGGCGATGTTTGCGCAAGACTACGACAATGATGACGCTCAGCTGCCTCTTGAGGGTGACGCGCAGCCCTTTTTGGATTTTTTTTCCCTCTCCTTGGTGCCACCACATTAAACAACTCATCAAAAAACAAAATAGATAGTAAGATTCGGATGACTTATCCCCTACTCTTCATGATAAATAGATATAAATAGTAAGATGACTAAGTCAGGGGATGGGGTCAATGATGGAACCGTTTACTCACCTGCAATGATTCAGATAATCCGCTGGGCGATTCCCAGGGGAAGAACCACACAGAAACCAAGGAAAGTAAGGTAAGAGTCCAGCGAAGGGGGTGAACCCCAGGCCCAAATTCGTGGATTTTCCAGCAGAAGTTGAGATTTATGGTCAGACCTAGTCGACATTTCCACTCCCGCAAAATGGGCCTTGTTCATCAATTTGGGTATGTTGCATCGCAAAACCTTCCAAATATAGACAATTTGAGGTCAAACATCTCCAGTTTCTCCATCCAGATACATTCATCAAGACTCTCTTGCTGCATCTTATTTCCATAACCCCCGAAGAAAATGCAAGACTAGAAAACTCGATGCAAAGACCAGTGGTCCCCCCTCAAGATTTCCCGCACTTTTCCATCACCCAGAAATTACCAGAAGGAGCTCAGGAAAAATCAATGAAAAAACAGGAAAATCAGCTGGACAACCAGCACGACTTTACCCACCATCAAACGTGGCTGGCTGGAAAATCCTCCATAGATTTTCCCACTGGAACCTCCATTGAGTTTGGTGATTTTCCATCCCAGGATGAGCTCAGTGGCGACGACCGCGGCCGTTCTCCAAGGGGTGCTGGGGGCTACGCCAGCCGTGCGGCTGATGCGGTGGAGCGGCGCATTGCAGAGGCCGTGGGGCCGTGGGGCCGTGGGGCCCTTATAACTGCTGGAAGTGAAGCAGCCCATACCAAGCCCAATGCTAAGTCATCTAAGTGGTAAGATCAGGGGATTTGACCAACAACGCATCAGATTTTTTGAGAAAGGAATTTGAACCTTTGATTTTAATTCTTTGCCATCCGTAAATGGGAGATTCAACTTCGGGATTCAAGGGAAAAAAGGAATTTCGACCCTAAACAAATATACCGCCAAGAGACCCCAAACAGTGTGCGGGAGTGGGAGGACAATGGATGATGATGATAATGATGATGATGATGATGATGACGACGACGACGACCATGATGATGATGATGATGATGATGATGATGATGGATAATGGATGATGGATGATGGATGATGGATGAATGATGAATGATGAATGACGACGACGACGACGACGACGACGACGACGACGACGACGACGACGATGATGATGATGATGATGACGATGACGATGATGATGATGATGGTGATGGTGATGCTGATGGTGATGGTGATGGTGATGGTGATGGTGAGGATGATGGTGAGGATGATGGTGAGGATGAGGATGGGGATGAGGATGAGGATGAGGATGATGATGATGATGATGATGATGATGATGATGAAGGTGATGAGGATGGTGATGAGGATGAGGATGATGATGATGATGATGATGGTGAGAGTGAGGATGATGATGGCGATGGTGATGATGATGATGATGATGGTGGTGAGGATGATGATGATGATGATGATGAGGATGAGGATGAGGATGATAGAGAGGATGATGATATGGTGATGGCGATGGCGATGATGATGATGATGATGATGATGATGATGGTGAGGATGGTGATATTGTGATGGCGATGATGCTGATGATGATGATGATGGTGGTGATGATGATGATGATGGTGAGGGTGAGGAGGATGATGGTGATGATGATGATGAGGAGGAGGATGGCGCGGAAGATGAAGTGGAGGATGCTAAGGTGGATGGTGATGTTGCAGAGAAGAATGAGGAAGATGATGGTGTTCTGTTGAGGAGGATGAATGATGCTGATGGTGGCGGTGATGGTGATGATGATGATGATGATGATGATGACGAGGATGATGATGGGGATGCTCATGCGGAAGATGAAGTGGAGAATGATAAGGTGGATGATGATGATGTAGAGAAGGAAGATGATGATGTTGAGGAAGATAAAAATGTTGATGATGATGATGGTGGTGGTGGTGATGATCATGATGATGATGATGATGATGTTGACGAGGATGACAATGGTGATGATGATGGGGATGGTGGTGATGATGATGATGATTATGATGATGATGATGAGGAGGAGGATGATGATGAGGATGATGAGGATGATGGTGAGGATGATGAGGCATCACAAGAGCCACTTGATACGGAAATTGACAGGAGACATGCCGCAGACTAGAATGAGCCCAGAACGCGGACACACACTTTGTGCGAGCTTGCGCAGTCGAAATGCACTTTCAACATTTCACAAGAGGCATCACAAGAACCACCATACGAAAATTTATAGGAAAAAGGCCGCGGCCCAGATTGAGCCCATACCGCGGACAGTCACTTCGTGCAAGCCTGCGCAGTCGAAATGCATGTCAACATGTCACAAGAGTCGCTTTAAACGGAAATTTACAGGAAAAATGCCGCGGCTCAGCTGGAGCACCCTGATCAAGCACCGGCCCTTACACTTACCGCAAGAAAACCTCAGTGTGGACACACTGTTTGGGGAAAAAGGAATTTCGCCCCTGGGGTTTCGCGGACCTTTGGGCCGCCATTGGACTAGGAAGCATGCTGACCACCACCAGAAAGACGCAAGTAAATGATGAACAACATAGCATCAAGTCACATCACAGCATGTATTTTGTCTTGGGGTTCTGCAACTAACAGATTCAAATCATCCTCGTGAACTTGAGGTTGAAACCCAGCAGAGTGATTCAATGTGGTCAGTACCTGAGAGGAGGAGAAAAACACATTGCCTGGAACGTTGGGGCAATTTTCTTTCAAACCTCGCTGGAACTTTTTGAGGTGAAAATAACAGTGGAGAATGCAGCACCGCGGTGAATATCATATAACATACATATATATACATATATAATGTTTCTTTTGGTGGTGGATTCCCCTTTTGAACCTCATTCGAGGGTCTTGCGCCTGCCTTACTCCAGTGCAATCCCCCGGCATTGCGGGGCAGAAGGGTATCCTATAAGATGATCCACCAGCCCTATTTTAGCACGACTGGTCAATTCAACTGAGGCCTAAATTCAACCCACATATCTATCACCTGTGATTAAATGGGTTTGTAACCCTAATGATGTTTGCGCCTACACCCCGTTCAATGGAGTTTACCAGCTGCGCAAGTGGGTATGGAAACCAGTTGGATCTACAACTTGGCTATGGCAACTACGCAGGTTTGTGCAAAACTAGGATTTCCTCAAATCCACGGGTTTATTGTCATGTTCACTATTCTTGAACAATCACTCAATGACTACCATTTTGCCTTATCCTCCTGTAAATCAAAATAGTTGTGTTTACAATTCACCATTTATAAACACTGTATCACTGTAATTTCCTCAGGAGATTGTAGGTTTCCCATATCTTTTTGTATGTTCCCCCCAGGGAACACACCTGGGCAGCTGTCGCCAGGGTCGCGAGCCTTTAGAGGGCCACCGTTCCCGTCGGGGCGCACGAGGGCAGGCGCACGGACTCGTGGGGAGTTTGAACATCTGAAAATCATGGGGTCAGCATGCATAATAATGAATCTAATAAGAAAAGTTATTATATGTTATTATTATTTAATGGTGAATCTACTAATTTAATGCTAATGCATACTGCATAGTAATAATTACTAAAGTCATGATAATCTAATCTCCGGTAACCATAGCAATTGGACATCTTTTGATTAGTTGGATCTGATTCCTGGATGGTTTCTGTTTCCCCGAGAGCTTCCGAAAGCCAGGCCTTTGGCACAGCACCAGCTGAGGCGCCGCCCGAGATGGATGGTCTCGCAGCTTGGGCAGCAAATGGGGTTTGGTGTTTGAAAATGGGGGTATAACATGGATTAACATGGTATAACTACCGCGAAATGGCTAGCTTTGAAATGGGAAGTGTGTTGATCAAGATTAAACGATTCATCAAATCTTCGGGGGAGCCTATTTTCAGACAAAGCTAGAGGAACTGGTTGCTTTCTTCTTGGGTCCCTTTAGTGACGATGAAGTGCTATAGAAAAACCAATCCGCAGTACATTTTTTGAGTCATGAACTGAACGAGGGGCCTGTACCATACATGAAGTGAGTGGATGGGTGGGCCTGAGGACACGGGTCCGCGTCGTCAGAAGGTGTCTGAACTGAGGGAAACTTGACTTCGCCTTGTGGCTTGGGGTGGTGCTGGGGCTGGGAAATTATATATATATAATATATCTATCTATATAAATATATATAAGATAGATTAAGCAGATTTTGGAATGCATCTGAGGATGGATGTGAGGATGGATGTTGCGACCAGAAGTCCATGTCAGGATTTAGTGACACAAATGCATAGGATGACATTGCCAATGGTTTTGCCAGGGTCCATAGTGTATGGGCATGCATGGATTGCCCAGAACGTTGGCCAGCCATCAGTCGCACATATTCGATGTGCTTTGAAGCAAAGCCCGGGCAGTTCTGCGCGGAGAAGGGGTTTGTGTTCAGTACGTTTCATATCACGATAGCGCTATCGCTCAATTTCGTCTGGCGGATGATGGTCCCAACTGAAACAATGTTGGATGGGACGAGGCCTCCAACCAGTGCCCAGTTGTTGCTTACTATCCCACTTTCTGGTTTGTTATTTCTCAACTTATACCTCCCCAGGGTTTCCTGTCGATTTTCCTTTATTGAAATCAATCCTTGACAATGTCACATATTTGTCGCACGAATCAGGGCTAAATGCCTCCAAATCCTCCACTTAGATGGTTTGACTATGTTTGACCATTTAAATTCCATCTAAAATCACCAGTTGAGATTCCTTTAGATGCTTCAAGGCATTGGTAAAAGGCTGCTGGTTTGATTGCCGCTGTGTCCCAGCTGAGGACTACTCTTCCCGCCTCTGGCGCGGCTCCGACCCTGGGCTACCCCCATCGGCGGCACTACGGGACGTCCCGGACGTGCCCGCTGCCACGCCCCGTGGTGCTGCGGCGGCGGCAGCGGAGGTGGGAGGTCTGATGGCTTTGAAATGCCATGCTCCATCTTCCCACTTGACATGGGCAACCTTCAAGGGTCTTTGTCCTTGCAGAATCAAGAGCCCGCAACAATCTTGGAGGGAAAACTTCAAAAACCATTGGTTGCCTCTCGATTTTCCCAAGAGCAGGAATGTGAGCTGGCACTTTTGACGGGCCGAAAGCGAGCACCACCGGTGAACCATGGCTGAGAACTGCGTTGGCGGCAGTGGGGGCAGGTTGGAAGGGTGAAACATTAAGACCATCGCAAACAAATTTTAGACAATTTTAGGACAATGTTAAGACCCCAAAGAAAGGATTAACAGGTGGAAAAGATGGGAATATCAAATTGAAGATCTTTAAAGGCGTTTGTTACTGGAACACCCGCCGCAGTGCCTTTGCCAAGACCACAGTTACATATCGCAGCGACCTGAATTTGCACATGTTCTGCAGCCATGGTTTTCCTCAGACTTGAAACCACATGATTAGCTTCTTCATTCTTTGGCTTTGTTTGGACAAAAGGCACCCCAAAAGCGAACAATTGCCATTGAACTTGATATGAATTGGGGTATCTCCATCTTGGACGAAGCCATTGATATGCCTAGGACGAGTTCAGATCCGCTGGCCGGCATGCTCATGGGACTTGGCCAGAGTGGGGAGAAGGAGAAGAAAGAAAAAGAGAAAGGGAAGAAAGAAAAGGACAAGAAGAGCAAAGGCAAGCTGTTCGCTGCTGTCAACATTTTTTCCTTTTTTTTTGAAGCTGTTTGGTTCCTTGAATTCCCTGTCACTCGGACCTGGTGTGAGATCCCTTTTTATTTTGTGATGTTCCATCCCCTATTTGGAATGCGATGATCCCAATTCTCAGTTGCTTGCCATCTTGCGGTGGGCTGGTTCGACTGCCAAACCCTGGCCAGGCAAGAAACACAAGAAGGACAAAGAAAAAAAGAAGAAACACAAAAAGGAGAAGAAGGCACAATGACCCTTGCCTTTCGAACACTTTGCTGGCCATTGCTAGTCCTTCGTCTTGGGCATGGCTGAGATCGGCATGAAATATTGCATTGGCATTTGTCACTTGATTCACTTAAGATGGAGCTCCATTTGCACAACACCTGTAGGGCTAGCTGGTAAGTCCTTTTCCACTTGGTGGCATGAAGCGACTTCATAAACCTTCGGAAGGGGTTTTCGGAGAATCTTGACGCTTGTCAAAAAGACTTGGGGATCATATTTTTGTGGATATTCCATTGGTTTGAGAATTATTCATCACTTGATGTTGGAAAAACGACAGCATCACTGAAGAAACGGACGCAGGCGAAGAGTAGCAGCTCTTAACGCCCGCGTGGCCAAAGAGCCTCTGGAAAAGGGGTGAGATCTGGGTGAAACTGGGGCACAAATGCTGGTAAACGGCATTGTAAACAGCATGATCTAGAATGAATCCCTTTAGATGTCCCAAGATTAATTAATGCAACATTATTGTGGCTTTTTTCCTCCATTCTATTCAATGAATGTGAGCAACCCAATGCCCGGTATGGTTTGATGACTTGGGGATAGTTTATGGCATTAGGTCTGCCACATTAATTCAGGGATTTTATGAGATATTAATGTGACGTTGTATAGTATCAGAGACTATCTGTAGTTAGTGGGGTATAACCAGCCATAAATGGATATCGAATGGGAATATCATTGGGTTTGCCACATGATCCATTAATTACGAACCATTACTAACTAATACTAACCATTATAAAGCATTACCAATATTCATAGTGTTTTTTCCATTCTATTTCCCATGACAAGTATTTCCATTGTGATATCATGTTTCCATGTTTCCGCCCTAATATGTTGATTTCCATCATAGGATTTATCCACTACAAATTGCATCAAATTACTAACCATTAGTAACCACTATCATTTTTTCCAGCATGTTTTAGTATGAGACAATATCTATACTTAGTGGAATATAAGTTCGATCTACCCCCAGCCCAGTAACAGCAGATAAACGATTTTCCTTTAACCCTTTCAAAACGAGCACAAGGAAATTGCTCCAAAAATCTCGGCTAGGCGGTGCCCAAAAAACGCAAACCTGCCCTCCAAACCCCTGATACAGAATCAAGACAGGGGCTTCACTTTCAAGATCGTTCAAGCATATCAGTTGCATTCCATGGCGAAGTGATTGTTGAACATTGGGAAAAGAACAGTGCAGACTATAGACAATACATTCACGTGCTACCCTGAGAAGGTGCGAGCAAGGCGTCTGCATCGTAGCAAGGACCAGAACATATTGTGAAAGAATTGGGCCGCCTGATGCAACTGGCACAATGTATCGTAATGTGCTGGAGCATGGAGTCAGATTGGCCATGTGGGAAAATGGCAGCGCAAGGCAGTCCTTGCAAGTTGACAACCACCCCAAACTTTAAATCCTAAACCCCGAGCCCATCCCAACCCTAAATCGCAAGCAAGTACCAAGCGTAAGTTAGTTTAACCATTGCCCACCAATATTAACCATTACACATATTAATTGTGATTTTCCCAGTCTATTTCAAGTAGCATGGATAATCCCTGACAATCCGTGCCAGGCACGCTCTGGGCCCATTACTCTTTGGATTCGTCGCGGCGATAAACCCCCCAAGGTGCGTAGCGCTGGAAGTTTCCAGCCCCCGGGTGTTATGTCAACCTCCAGGAAACTCCAGCACCTGGTTGTTTCTGGCAATTATAACTACGTAATTATGGTTAATATTAGTTACTGGGTTTATAAAGCCACGTGCCCCTTGGTAAATTAACATAGCTGTGGAAAATAGAGATGATTCACCTGTTAAAAGTGGCGTTCTATGGCTATTCACAGAGGCCAAATACTCTAGATCTGTCGATTTGTAGATCAATTCTATAGATGTAAAGAAACATGATGGAGAGTGATCTCATATATTCTCCAGAATGATATGTAAAATTCATCATTTCTAAATCGCTTCCTGTGCAAATCCATGGGTTTCAATAGCGACCTTAGTTTATTGCAGGATTTGTGATTTTGAGGAATGACTTGACATGCTTTACTAGGCTGTGATTTTATATTCAAAACTTGGAGATGTACATCTATATACGCATGCTATGTATGGTATGTGCTGCAATGTAATGTAAATGAGCACGTAAATGCGTGCCTGCATATGTTACTATATACATAAGACATATTGCAGAGGTATCTTTATTTGGTCTGTGACATCGTCATATCTTCCACGCCAAAACTGTATCAAGACACGCCGCCCAGGGTGAGCGGTGGCGAAATACGCCGGGGGGCCACGGCACGGGAAAGGTTCCTGGTCAAGCCTTGCGCTGGAGAACCCATTCTTTTAATGAAAAATCCTCTATTTATGTGGGTAAAACAACAATAAACCACCCCATTTTTGGTTTATACCACCCATTTGTGGTGATTTTGGGGATTGTTTATTATTGTTTTAACTACATTAATGGAATTTAATGAGTAAACGTCACTGATCAAGCTGTGCTGTTACATCTATTGCGACTAGATTCTAGGATCACCTGAGAACATCTTTAGACTGCAAAATTCAACGCGTTACTCCTCGATTTTCCCCATTGGTGGGTGGCTGAGGCTCAATCGTTCCAAGACGTTCGTACGGGCCCTCAGATTGGAGGATCTTCGAGCCACACCCAAATGAGAAACCAAAAACCAAGCATTCAACTTAGGCCCTGCACTTGATACCACCAGCAAACAACGATCAATCGATGAATTACTGCAACTTCCCTGGCGCCATGTTCCAGATCCAGGATCGAACGGATAGCGAAGTCAGCAGTCCCGTGCGTGCATCAGTGCCAGCGGTTGGGGGGCTTGGGAGGTGGTCTTCAGGATTTCGTAGCCTCTGGTAATGGGGATCTCGGGAATATCACATTTTGACACACACACACGCACATGTATAGATATATATATATATATAATATAATATATAATATATAATATATAATATATAATATATAATATATAATATATCATATATAATATATCATATATAATATATCATATATAATATATAATATATAATATATAAGATATAATATAATATATATATACAATATATAATATATATATAATATATATATATATAATATAATATATAATATATATATATATATATATATTATATGTAATATATATATATAATAAATCACATATTATAGTGCACAAACGGGGGATGTTAGCAGTGTCACCCTCACCCTCTGGGAGTTGGTGAAATAGCTATGGAACATTGCCCATTTATAGATGACACCTGATGATTTACCGAGCAAGGATGGTGATTTTCCAGAGCTCGAATCGGGCCGAAAAATACTTCAATTTGCTTGGGGGAAGATTTACAGTGTTTGCCCATAGATTTGTGGTAAACATGTGGCTTCCTGTAGATTGTAGAGTTTCTCTTGGATCAATTCCTTGGTGATGTCTTGAGTGTTGAACCACACCTTTCTCGTGATTCAAGAGGGGTCACGAAATTTGAGCCATAACACATCCATATGTGCAAAAAGCTGGTATATGTCAGGGTCAAAACATGGATTGTGCACATCTTGTGGGGTGGATATCGATCCATTGGGGTCATTCGGGGTTTTATAGCCCCATTTTTTGAGGATTCGGCCTGAGCCAGGCCTGGAACAAGTTGCTGGAGTACCTCACGCCACGCTTTTCTGTGGGATGGGTCTCCAAATCATTCCAAATCCTCTGAACCATTGACTCAATGGATTGGCTTAAGGGAAAATCTACAGGAAACCATAGATGTTCCCACGAAATAATTATAGGGGTTTCCTGTAATTTTTCCCTTAAACCAATCCATTCATCCATTGATTGGATCGTAATGCGAAAATATGCTAAACACCGATGGCCCCCCAAGATTGAAACAACACATAGCATTTGTCATTCAGGTGGGTGAATTTTCCAAGAAAGGGATTACAAGTTGACGCGAATGCCAGACATGGCATTTCCAGTCAAAAGCCGTCTGGCTGGAGTCCCGATTTCTCTAGATTGCTTCGGCAACAGGGTTTCGATGGCAGGATCTAGAGTGACAATTCAGATCAATTCAGGTTCTTTTGGGGCTTCAGAGGTCATGTCATGATGGCCTAGTGAGCATGGCCTCTGCCAGTGCGACGCTGGGTTCGAAGGAAGAGAAGGAGGAGTGGGATGGAGTGGGCAAGTCGGCCATGGGTTTTGCCCTGCGTCCATTGCCAGCGTATTTTACGTCATTCATGCCCATGCCGCTTGCATGTCCGGCCTTGAATTTTAAAAGGTTGGAATCTGCAGTTTTGTCAGGACTGGTTGGCAAAGTTTGGAACATGAATTTTATTTGTCCATTCAGTTGTGAATGTCATCATCCCATTTGACGAACTCCATCATTTTTCAGAGGGGTTGGTCAACCACCAGATGAGTTTTTACCAAAGAGATGAGCAACGCCTGCTCCAAAGAGGAGAGCCCAAGATGGTGGATTCTTTCATTCCACCCATTTATTAACAAATTTTATATCCCATTCATTGATGTATGGTATATAATAGGTGTATATCTGAATATAACCATTATATTTACATGATTTTACATCACCTTTATTGATGTTGAAAAACTCATTCCTGATCCCGAAGTGCAGGATCCAATGCAGAGGCCTGGGCTCTGGAGGGGAGAAGAAACATCCTTAAGCTCGGGGGATTTCGATGACATCATGGGGAATTCCTTAGCAGTGTTACCGGAGGGGACATGACGGACATGACGTATCAACAGTTCATGTTTTTTTCATGCAACGATCAAGAGTGAAAATTACATATAATTACCTATTTCCGACACATGGTCGCAAGTGCATATTAGTTGTGTCGACATGCTTATCTAGAATACGTTAGTAGAATCAGTCAAAAGATAGATAATGCAGGTTCATAGATAGCATCATAGATATGACATGATACAAACTATTCTGGTTGGTGGTTTGGAACATGGCTTTTATTTTCCACCACATATGGAATGTCATAGTCCCAACTGACGAACTCCATCATTTTTCAGAGGGGTAGGTCAACCACCAACCAGTAATGACTATTCATATTTCCAGGACGTTGACATCACTATGGAAGTTCCATGAAGTTCCAGCATTTGTGAATTCCCCCCCGCCTTTGTAGATCATGTTCCATTTTCGGCAGCCACATATTTTTCAATTCTATGTGATATTTTTCTATCGTATCTTAGCGACTTGTTTTTCCCTTTTCTTCCACAGAAACTGTTTTTTTTTTGGATAAACGAACATACACACAAAAAAAAAACAAAAAAAACAAAAAACACATAGAATGTTGGAAAATCCAGTGATCTACCTACAGTTTTCCAACATTTTATGTGTTTCCAACGGGTCGTATCTTTTGAGATCCGTCAGCACCCGCCAGTCACGACTTGGCATCCACGCTGCCGCCCAATGCCATGCGGAATTTGGCCGTGAGG